CTCATCACAGGCAGGCACAGCACTCAATTCAGCATGTGTTCGTGTTCGTGTGTGCTGTCTGCGTCACTCTTAGCACGTGCCTATATCGTGCGCTATATTGAAAATTTTTTCTATCGATATCGAAGAAGGTGTATCGTCGATAAATATCGATACCGTTTTATCGCCCAGGCCTAATACGAACCCTAATGATTTTCTTTTGATGAACACATAAGGAGAACTTTAGCTGAATGTTCACGCTGCTCTTTACCATATATTCAAAGTGAATGGTTGAGGGTGAATCTCAAAAAACCTATCGATAAATCTAATTTCAACCCAACTGAAACCCAATTTTGCACTGTGGCATTATTTTATTTAATTTTTTTAAGTATAATTTTGCGATAATTTTGAGTTATAGAATGCCTGACTCAGAGATGGGAATAGATATGACATTACATTTCATATGAAAAATGGCTCATATTGCTATTGCTGTGACCCTTAAATTTTTGACATATCAAATCCTCAAGCCATTATTTTGGTGGAATGTTGGTGAAATGCTGTAGGCTAAACTATCTACAAAAAGTTTATAATTATGTGAATGCCAATGTAAATAAAGTGAATCAAGTGCACATTCCGTACCCAAATGCACATTAAACTTGCAGAACTTGCAGAGATTACGCTTTTAAAACAGCATTTACTATGAACCGAGCTTATAAACACAGTGTTGCTCTTCACTCTAAAACATGCAAAGACTTTATACATATTTAATTAAATGCAGCATTTAATTTGATAATCATGATTCGATAAAATATATATTTGTATTTCAGTTTTATTTTGATTAATTGTGTAGCCCAATTAGCCTTATTAATGAGCTTTTTATCAACAAATGAGCCTCCTGCAGTTCCCTCACAAACCCCAGTTTGGGAAACCCTGCTTTAGAAAAATCATGTACATTTTACTCCACAATTCTCATTAGTGTAATACACCTTTTTTATTATTATTAAAAAGGATTAAAGGCAGTACAAGAAATGATACCATGATGAAAAAAACACTTCAAAATGTATACATAAATCTTTTGTCAGTAATAAGAATAAGCATTACAGTAATGAGAACTGGGGAGTAAAATTTAATTAAATGGACCCTTCTCACAGACTTATACTTAAAATAATTATAATATATATAGATATACAGACTTAAAAATAATATATATATATATATTGGGTCCATTCCTGAAAATAATGTCAGTGTAAAACGTTTTTGTTTTTTTAACACCTCTTTGTTGCATTCACCCAGAAACTGATGTTTCCAAGCTAAAAAAACAACAACATAAAAGTAGTCCATACAACTTCAATTTATGATGTGCACAATGTGCTCTATTTCAACTCATATGATGTCATGCAACAGCTTTGCATGAAAAACAGACTGACGTTTAATTCATTAATCATTCAAAAATCATTCAGTGACTTAAGGGTGATTAAATAATGACATATTTTATTGCTGGATGAGCTATCCCTTTAAATGTGTTGGGGACATTAATTCCACACACTGTTTCCAAATATCCATGTACCTCAAAAAACAGCACTGGCTTCTGCGGAAATACACAAAACAGGCACTGGACCTAAAAGAGCACAGGCCATAGATGCAGGGGCAGGGAAAACAAAAAGAAAGAGCATATGAACATTGGTAAAGCAGCATTGTTCCACTGAACTGCTATGCTGATTGTCTGAGGAGTCATTGGCAGTATCTGCTGTTGTGATGAGTAATGTCTGTGACTGCAGGGACAGCAGATGGGTTCTGTGCACATGCTGTACAATTAGCAGAGGATCATGGGAGGACAAGAGACTCTGAGTCCGGCTGGACGCACTGCAAGCTGCTTAACTGTATCATCGCCACCCCGAGCAGCAGATGCAGTGACCTCACCTGCACAGTGTGAAGCCTGTCAGACAGGTGTCACACTGCACTCTGATGCAGCACACTGCCTTGCAAATAATCAGGTGTCTCACAGCATGAGAACCAGGCTGATTACTGATGCTGAATAAGATTTATCAGTGAAGATGAAGATGATTTTTCACTGTCTATCTAGATCTATCTTTACCTAGATCTTTCTCACAGAACTACACACTGCTAAGACTTCCTGTTGTACTGTTACTGTACACTACTGCTCAAATGATTAGACACAACTGAACCGATGTTTCCCATGATCTTAAAATAATTCTTAAAATAAGTCTTAAAATTTTGATCTAAAGGCTTAATGATTTTAGGCTTAATGAGTTTTGCAGACAAATATAAATCGTGCCGGTGTATGAAGTTTTTAAATTGTTTAATTTGTTAAACATTTTTGCTTTTTAGTCACTAAACAGCATTCCCATGAACATTTTATCTTTCTATTTCTCTATTTATGTATGTATGTATGTATTTAAGAAATGCCTTTTTTATTCAGCAAGGATGCATTATATGGATTAAAAGACAACTATATTATTATATATTCTATTCCATATAAATACTGTTCTTTTCATTTTATTAATCAAATAATTCTAAAGATGTATCGGTTTCCACAAAAATATTAAGCAGCAGAGCTGTTTTCATTGATAATAATAATAAATGTTTCTTGAGCAGCAAATCAGTAATTAGAATGATTTCTAATGATGCTGAAAATTCAGCTTTGCCTTCACAGGAATAAATAATATTTTTTTTAAAAATTGTTAAATATATTTAAAAAGGAACAGTTAATTTTAACTGGAATAATATTTCAGAATATTAAAGTTTTCATGTATTTTTAATCTAATAAATGCAGCTCTGATAAGCATAAGAGATTTCTTTCAAAAACATTTACAAATCTTACTGATCCCAAATTTTTTAACAGAATTGCATTATTTCACACTTGACAATTTTACTGTTTTCTAAAGTATTAGAAACATTAATAACAAAGAACAAATGTATCAATTGACATCTGTAATATTACTAGGCTCTGATAAGTAGATTAAATTGAAACATTATGGCTCCAACTTGCATTCACACAGAAGGCAATTTGACGACAAAGCTCAGAGTGAAAGTACACAATACCACAGGTTTTTGGACATGTACCATAGTAATACCATGGTATTCTTTGAAGTATCTCTGAGTACCATATAAACACTGCGGTACATAAATAGGGAACAGGCACAAACCAGTACCAGGGTACTGCCACAGTTTTGATGTTGAAGTGAAGTTCAAAACTTTTGTCTTTCTCTAGATAATCATTATCCAGCAACATTCTTTTAAACTTCTACATGTCTTCCGTGAACTGGGTCCATATATTACCAACAAAATCATCATGTCCCTTCTGGAAAACATGAAGTTAGGAAAACATCTGGAAAACATGAACCCCCCCC